TGCTGAGATATGAGATTACTCATTAATTTGCACAAGATAAGCATGAACAAACTAGGGATGAACTCCTTGTTTGCATACTGATTTTTTACCTCTCCAGCTTGTGTTCCTTTGGGTAATCATTCATGTAGGACTAAAAAAATCATGTTCTAATGTTTTCAAATGAACTCAAAATGCAGAAATATTTATAGCCTAGCTGCTAGGTATATGCTTAAACTCTTGCTGTTTGCCCTCATGCATAGATTGACATCTACCAGCCCCTCTAGTATCTGAGCACAGTGAGGAGAGTTGTTGTGATTGAAAAAGGGCATCACTCCAAGTTCTTCCTAGGCATTTCACCTCCATTTCTGGAATGAAATTATGCAATTGTACCCAAGTCACATGTGCAGATTTTGAGGAATACACTCAGCTTGTTCTATCTGATATTTTAACTGGACAAACCACACTGTCTAAAACATTTGCATGGTCACAGGTTCTCCCCAAACAACAAATCCCTGCAGCAACCTGCAGTCTCCTTTCTGATGTTTCTACAAACTAGGTGAAGATCCATAGAAGGTGTGAAGATCCATGAAAGGTAAAGGCACCTGGAACAGAGATTAACAGAATGATTGGTTTAATTAATATTGTTTAATACAATGTAAAATCTTAAATGAAATATTATGCTTCCCACTCCTCCTCCCCTTAAGAATCCAAAACCCTACAGATAGGGTGAAAACTGTTTGTGTTTTCTGGCAGAGAAGTAGAGCAGAACAGTGATCCAGTCACCCAAAGAGCTGATCCTAGGATTCTGTTGCTATGTTGTCTGTACATCATACATAGTGTCTGTAAAGTGCTAGCGATCTACTATAAACACTGTACTCAGACTCCCACAGCCTCTTGGGTCCCCTGCCATTCCCCCACTTTCTACTCAGCTCTAACTACAAGGCATGGCATTAGGCTGTATATTTCCTTTTTGTGTGACTTTTTATGTAAGAAGATACTGATCCTTTTTGGAGCACATTTGAACATGGTAGCTATAGTGAAATGACTACAGCAAGTCAGGGAAGCTTGGAGGAAACATCACTGCACAAGGAGATGTGAAAGGGGCTGTGCATTCAACAGGCACTCAGGCTTACTGCTGGCCAGGGCAGGGTGGATGATGTCTTAAACTAAGTAGGTATGGGAAGGAGTCTGAATAACAGGCACAATTTTCCTAAACTAGACACATAATTACTAAATAGCATAGCTCAGGTTTCAGGGAACCTGTAGTGCAGTAAACCAGAGAAGTATGTACAAGGTGAGAAAAAGGCATTTAGTAGGTGCAAAATTATACTTATTTTCTGACATCACTGAAGTGTCAAGAGCACAAATTACTCTCTGGTTATTAAGGCTGATGAATGTTACTAAAGTTGACTTTTTTGATTCAAAAAGCAATGTTAATTCAGATCCAGTGAAGCCTCGGTAGGGAAACAAATAAACAAGGGAAGAGGACATGGGGTGTAGAGAATGGAAGCTGATAACAACTGCAGCTTAAGGAAGGGAATGGAAACATTACTGGAATAAAAAAACCCAATTAGTTTCATCACTGAAGGAAGTGTCTGTGTAATAAGACAGAGTCATGAAATTACCCTTAAACTTACTCTGAATGAGACTCAGTGACAAAGGATATTATTTTCATTTTTATCTCTGATGAACAGAAGTCACATATTTCCTATCTATGAAACTAGTGCTTAAAGACAACGCAAAAATCTCCCTGAGCAGCTCTGTCCAACTCTGTTTGAAACAACTTGCCTTTTTTTTTTTCTTTCTCCCCTGCCTTGTTGTTGAGAAGCTGTGTGTTTTACAGCCCCAGATCCCCAGTAGGGGTGAGAAGTCCCCATTTCTGTGCTTCCTATGTAGGTCTTGCCCCACAGAAGAGCCCTTCCTCACCACTCTCACTCCATAGGCTCTGGTCATACTCTGACCACTCTCCTGCTCTTCACCTGACTCTCTGTTCAGCACCTACTGATGATGAGTGAGCATTAAATGGGTGTCTGTTTCTCTCCACACACTAGAGAGGGAGCTCATCCAGACTTTCAGACAACTAATGTCAGATGAGACAGATCCCACCCAAACAACCACATCGGGGACAATTTCAGTTCCTCCGAACCAGCGAAACAGGCTCTGCCATCTGCCAACACTCAGCCCATCCCATTACATCTTTTGAGATACATAGCCAAAATGATACTGACCCCTTAGGTGGTATGACACTAGAAGGAAGCGTTAAAACTGATATATTATTATATATCTTATATATATATATATTCTTTTTTTTCTCTCTCTCTCTCTCTCTTATTTGTCTGTCAGGTAATGGTAATGGGCTGTGAGAGACATTTTCTTTGCTGCACCAACTCATTGGCTTCGAACTTGAGTCCACATTGGTTCAATCAGTTTTTGAGTGCTCAGATCTGCCCTTTCATGTGTACAAAAATAACCAGATATACTATGAACACCAAACTTTGTTTTCTACTGAGCTATCAAAATGGGATTTAAAGGATGGTCAGACTTTATCTTTAGTCCAATTAGCTGAGGACTAGCAGATTCTACAGGAGCAAGGAAAGAAACATTTTCCACCTAAATTTAGATATTAAAAAGGTAGATGTACAAATCAGCTAGTCTCCCATGTTAGCAGAGAAACACTGATACCTCCAGATAATGGGTCATGTGACTTATGCTCCTATTTTAGGGCAAAATGAGTCAGTCACTGAAGAAGTTTATTTGTTTCCCTTGCCTACAAAGGGAGCCTCAGGAACCTTATACAGATTTACATGCCTGACTGCTAGGGATCATGTTATGAAATGACACCATTCTCTGCCTCCACCTGTCAATTTGAGCTCAAATTGACAGGGTGGGATGCTACTGTATGAACTGATCTTTCAAAATCCAGGCCTGCCTTTGAATGTCTTCTGGAGGCTGTTGCTTTTCTGGGCCTGCCTAGTGGCATATATGGGCCGGCTCCTGGGATCCCATCCTGTATTCATCCGTAGCCTTAAATCTGGGACCTGCACTTACTGTTTGATTTACTTGCTTCTGTTCTCCTTCAGATTGGGCCTGTGAGGAAAAATATACCTTCTTATCCTCAAAACAACCCCTTCAAGTGTATTCACAGCGTACAAGGGTGTACTGGATCTAGGTTCTTCACAGCAGCCTGTATGGCGCTGTGTTTTAGATTTGTGACTAAAACAGTGTTGATAACACAGCAGTGTTTCAGCTATTGCTGAAGAGTTCTCGCATAGCACTGTGTTCTGGGTTGCTCACTCTGTCCCCAAACCCAGGTAGTAGGCTCGGGGTGGGCAAGAGGTTGGCAGGAGACACAGCCAGGAGAACTGACCCAAACTGACCAGAGAGATAATCCATGTCAAGATTGCTCAGAGACTGTCTGGTCATCAGTCTCTGGTGAGAGGTGGTGAGTCTTTGCATCACTTGTGTTTTTGTTTGTTTGTTTGTTTTTTCTCCTTCTCTTTTCTTAAATGTCTTTATCTTAACCCAGGAGTTTTTCTCACTTTTCCTCTTCCAAAACTCTCCCTCATCCTGCTGGAGAGCGATCCAGGCTTTCCACAGTGAAAAGCTAGATGCAGGCTATTAACCAGTGTCTATTCTGTGGCTTCCAGACACACAAAAAAAGTAACAATTTTCAATAATTGTTCCTTTTAATATTCAGGATTGATGTTCAGAAATATTGCCTGGCAAAGGAAGCTATCTGGCTATAAACATTTACAACATCAGAATATATACTTTCTGGCTACTCATGCACTGGGGAGCATGATGGATATTGAGGGTTCTAAGAACACCTTTACATAGGGTAACCCTTACACAATTACATATGTACCACAAACAATTTGAAACCAGATCCATCCTCTGAAAAGGACAACTTTAGCCTTGATCCCCAGGCAGTGGAATGTTGTATGGTAAGTTGAGAGGCAAGGATATGCAATCAAATTTCCAGCGTTAATGCCATTAATAAGATGCTTTAAGTTTTGGTCAGCCCTGAAGTGGTCAGACGGTTGGACTAGATGATCATTGTAGGTCCCTTCTGAAAATATTCTATTCTATTCTGTTCTGTTCTAATCACCAACTGTGCAAGCTCCAACTTAAAAAAGTCTCCTGGTCTATCTGTCTGCTCCAGTCAAGCACTTTGCGGCGACTGGATAATACTTGTACATACACCTTACGACATCCAGCATTTGAATCTTTTCTAACCTCTGAGACACAACTAGATATTTGATGTGCTTTAGGGAGGAAAGAAATAGGCAGGGAAGGCTGGCTGGCTACAACAGGTTTTGGTGAGGAAAGGTCTTCCTGATCTCATGAAGAGTATAGATCAAACTGCAAAATTATTAGCAATATTAGCATCTCTTTAGATGGGCTAAATTTCCCGTCTTTCTTTAGCCTTTACAAGGACAAAGCCTTTCAGCCCTTTCTCTTTGTTAGGAGAAGGCTGGGAGGTGATCGGGAGAAACAAGACCTGCAAAAGGACTGTGCTGCAGCAGCACCTGCTTCCTGCTGCCGTGGAGGGCAGCCCCTGGACAGACAAATGCAAGAAGCTGGACAATGGATAAAGCCTGGAAGTCTGCCAGCACTCCTAGAGAACATCCCATACCCTTTGATTTTTTTGGCAGATCGAGGTCATGGAAGAGGAGAACATGTCAGAATTTATATTCATTATTTTTTCCTTCATTACAGGCTGAATATTAAGGGGGTTCTATGTCAAGAATGATGCCCAAAAAAGTAAACCAGACATTACGTATTGTTAAAAAAGGAATGCAGAACCAAAAGGGCACCTCTTTACACCAGCATACAAGCCTATGGTGTACCTTTAGCTGGAATTCTGTGTGA